GGTCCCTGCTACCCTGCCAGGTGAGTTTGCTGGAGACAAGGCTTCTGGGGAGCGTAACTTGCATTGTGTGGACAGAGAGTGAGGCCTTCTTCTCCTGGCCCCTTCTGGAGGGCAGTGTGTGGCTGAGCAGGAGTCTTGGCAAGCGGAAGAGGTGGGCGGGAGCATCATTTGGCCTGGCAATGAGGACAGCAACCCTCAGTTGGCTATGACTGGATCAGAAGAGAGCCTGGGTGCTGGCCGAGCAGGGTGTGGCGGTGTCACAGTTGCTACAGGTGTCTAGGCACTCCTTGGTTTTCCTTTGATGACAAAAACAAGTCTTAAAGAAGAGAAACCTGTGAGGGAGACAGTATGGATGGCTCATGACCAAGCTGGGTTCTCCAAACTCTCTCAAGGACAAATGACAGAGCTGCAGAAAGTGCGGTGCACGGTTGTGTGAGTGTCAGTGTTGTACACGGGGGATGGGACCTGGCTGCTCTCTCATTGAGAGTCAGTCTGCAGGGTTAGGTGTTTTAGTGTGTAACAGGTAATAAAGCCTTTCTCTGGACTTTAGCTTCCTCGTTGGTAAAGAGGGGTTAGTATTCATGTAGTTATAAAGATGAAAGGATTTAAGGTATACAAAGTGACTAGATCCCTGGCTGGAACAGCCCATGTGATAACCCTTGTTCTGCCAAACAGTTGTGTATTTGCCTTGAGGAAAGGGCATAGAAAATCTGCCTCATCTGTAGCCTAAGAATGGAAGGCAGGAGTCACCACAGGATGCTAGCTGAGTGCAATGCTTTAGATTGGAGAGACCATAGTGCCACTAACAGTGAACATTTAGTCCATGTTAAAGCAGCAGCAGTAACACCCCCAGAATACACTGCCAGGCCAGAATCTCTTTGGGGAGCAGAAAGAACAGAGAAGCAGTGTCTAGGGTTTTAGGATTTGGGGAGACTGTGTCCAGTCTGAGGAGGTCAATGTCTCCTCACAGATGTCCTGGAAAGTTGGACGCCCGGTGATGAAGAACATAGCTGCATGAACTAGGTTCAAGAGAGGCAAGTTTGGAAGAGATGGAAAGAACTAGGGTCCACTGGCTACCATCTGAGGACCAGCACTCTGTAAGGCCTCTGGGCTGTAGGCAGGATTGTTTATATTTAACTGGTGAGAAAACCAGGACCAGAGCAACCTCACTGACAAAAAGAGGCCACAGAGCTCAGCCAACCTTTGTCTTGTTGGTTTATTGCTTTCTGTGAGAGGCTCAGCTCTGTTCAGGAACTTGCTGTTAGAAGCCTGGTGGACACAATAAAAAAGGGAAAGAAACAGGAGACTTGATAGAACTTGACATAGACCTGGCCTGAGAGAAAACAAGGATGTTGTTTTGTAATAAGACTGAAAACAGGGACAAAATTACAGGATGGTGACTACTCAGCCGTGTGCAGGGCAGTGAGGGTAGCTGCCGTGCCTACTGCCTTAGGCTATTGCCACAATAAAATTAATTAATATGCATATAAGGTGATGACTACGGGGTCTGTCTGCCATTTCCTGGCGGTTAGCTGTGGTCACCACCATCACTGGCCTCAAACATCTCTAGGTCTGCAGAACAGAGGAGGATGCCCGAGGCTTCTCAGCCTGCTGTGTGGAAGGCTAGACTCTGTGGTCACTGCAGAAGTAGAAAGGGAAGTGGTGATCCCCCACTTCTCCCCAGCATCTGCCATGGTCCTACCGCAGCTCCGGTTCAGGTCCTGAGACTGGGGAAGGGGCGTCGGCGCGAAGAAATGAAGTAGTGTCCGACCACCAGATGAGTTTCACACAAGAGGCTGGCCCGAATAGCTCCAGACATCTTTATTCATACTTCTAAAACAAACATGTTCTTCCCACCCTCCAGTGTTAACTTCGAGCAAAAACAAATACGTCAAATATGTTTTTTTCCCCAACGTTTACATCAAAACATCTTTAAAAATAATGCTTATCACTTTGCCAGCTTGGCCAAATGCCGAGCCAGGTACATCCTATCTGTGCGAGCATAGGCACACTTTATCAAGAAAAACAATATCATTCCAAACTTAACAAAGCATATTTACAGAAATAGGGGTGAATTGCTGCCCATCCCGTCAGCACTGAATCAGGATAGCTCCCAGGGTCAGGAGTGACAGCTGACGTTCCCAGACAAGAAACCTGAGAAGCATTAGCTCCCAAAGAAATTTAGATGAAAATATTTGAGAAGAAAAAAATGGGGTTTCCAGGAATGATCACATCTGTCCCATGTGTGACTGACAAAATGACACAAAAAACCGCCAAGAGAATTGCCAATATTATGAGAGAGAAGAGAGAGTGCAGCGCAGTATTCCGCGCTGTCTTGAAGTCTACCGGTGCTTGCTAAGGGACACTGATCCCCTCGGAGTCCCTGCCTCATCTGGAGACTGGATGGACAAGCACTCATGTTCTGGTCTGAAACTAGGACTCATGGCTCCCAACAAGCACCCTTGAGGTGAATGGAGCAGATGAAGTGGAGGGGCAGTGGCCAGAGGAAAAAGCCCTTTTTATTTTAATGGTGTGAGGGAGGCAATTTGTAGCTCTAATGTCTCGGTGTGACACCTCAGGGCTATGCTAGTCGGCTTGCTCCCCACCCTGTGGATAACGCAGGATGTGGGTGCTGGTGGAGGCAGCAACAGGGTCCTGCGCATAACCCACAACCCCAGTGTGAACTTAGGGACAATCCGAAAGGCCCTGCTTATTTACATGCTTGCGGTATGTCTTTCCTCTTACAGTGTGACCTCTATGAGGCCAGAGGTAACAGCTTTTTGAAAGTTAGGGCCCTGCAGCCAGGTTTTCCCAGAAACGTATTCTGAGGCTTGAGGATGTTCTGGAGAGCAAGGCTGGTAGGCAAGAGGAAAGTGATCTGGGCAGAAGGTAAGGGCTGGTTAGCACTTCCCTTCCAATGGAAAGAAATGTTCTCTTTATGGAGGAGCGAGAGACCCCTGAGGCAGAGGAAGTAACCATACTTCACCCTCTGAGAAAGTGTGAAAGCAGAGACTGCCAAGATTCCCCAGGAAGCCTCCCCAGGGTTGTGCAAGCTTAGAAAACTGACAGGGAGGGAACCTGCATTTCTGGTAAGAGATTTGTTGACTCTCTGGAGCGCCTGCAAGCTGTGCAGAGAACTCCAGGGTGGCAACTTTCGTGTGCTGGTGACACAGTGACCTCTCACCACACTCCTACAGTAACCCTAAATTGGATTTTGATGCAGTTGCGACTTGGGTCTGTTTTGGGTTCACTTTCTAGGGTGATTCTGTATGTTGTATCCAGAAGTCTAACACACACCAGCGAGGTGAACGGTGAGGCGGTTCTCTATAGATGCTTCCCTGACCTGGGAGTTTGGACACTAGTTGACCCCATATGTAGGCTAGAACCCTAGGTAACACACCTCCTGTCCAGAGGGATTCTTGGAACACCCAGAGCTATTGCTGGACGGCTCCGTGTAGTCTAGAAGCAAGTGCATCAGCATTGGTAGGGGACGGGCCTGGGTGGTACCCCACTATTCAGGGCAGGTATGTTCTGCAAGCCTAGAGAACTCCTGGCACATGGTAGTGGCGACAGCAATCCTCACACAGCGCCATGCCTTGTATTGATGTAAGTGTGTTCGTTGTGGCAATAATCTGATGTGGTACGTACTACTGTTACCTGCATCTTAGAGATAAGGAAGCCAAAGTGCTGAGGGATCAATTAAACAACTTGCTTAAATTCATTAGTGAGGGAGTGATGGAGCTGGGGTTCAAGGACAGGCACTTTGGTGCCAGGAGGCAACCTTGAACCACCTTGCTAAACTATACCGCCTGTGCTTTCTAACGCCCAAGAGCATGCGGTTAATGAGGAGTTGACTGGTTTCCTGCGGAGCCTGTTTGGTCCGTAGCCTTTACTCCTCTCTTCCCACTTTTCCTGGCCTCTTTGAAGGTGAGTGAGGACAGTCCCAGGGCTTCCGATACAGGAAGAAGAGGGAAGGGCCATCTCTGTGGAAGGCTTGGCTCTGTTGAGTAAGAAGGAATTCTGGGTCCCGGGAGATGGTTGAGGCCCATACGTGCATCTGATTTCTCTCTCCTTCACTGCAGAGTGTCCAGTACAAGAGATGGACATTGTTTTCCTGATCGACGGCTCTGGCAGCATCGATCACAGGGATTTTAGCCGGATGAAGGCCTTTGTCAAAACGTTGATGGGCCAGTTTGCGAGCACCAACACCTCGGTGAGTGCCGGCCGTGGTGGCCTATGGAAGGGAGGCACCGATGTGGCCTCACATAGCCGGTGGAGGAGGACGTCCAGAGGGGGAGCTCATGGCAGGGCTGCGAGCCAAGGACAGTGTCCACATGTTGTGCGTTGTTTAACACCGAAAGAGCTGAGGATGGCACATGTCTGGGATCCTAGCACTCGGGAGATTGAGGCAGCAGGGTCACGTGGATTCAGGTTCAGCTGGACCATAAAACATGACCCTTTCCAGACAAAAACCAACCAGCCAACCAAACAAACATACACGGAACAACAGAGGAGGGTTTTAAGACAATTTAGTCGTGAAACCTCATCGTAGGTAACTCAAGCAAGCGAGTGGTTTCTTTATTGTATGTTCTGTATAATCCACAATATTTTTATCTTTAAGTACACGGGAAATGAACTGTACATCCAAAATTATTCCTAAAGTGAAGGCTAATTGAAAATGACAGCAGGCCCATTGGTGAGGTGGTTCAGTGGGGAAAGGCGCTTGCCACACAAGCTGGACGACCTGAGCTCTCTCCCTGGGACCTGCAGTGGAAGCAAAGATGTTCCCTGAGCGCCACAGGCACATCATGGCTCATCTGGGCTCGCGCATGCGTGCACCTCCCTCCACACACACCAGAGAAGGGGTGGGGAGAGGGGAAAGGGAAGGGTAAAGGAGAGAAGGAGCCGTGGAGAGTCCTAATCCTGGGGCTCCCTTGACTTTCGCAGTTCTCCCTGATGCAGTACTCAAACATCCTAAAGACCCATTTTACCTTCACCGAATTCCGGAGCAGCTCGAACCCCCAGAGCCTGGTGGATCCCATCGTCCAGCTGCAGGGCCTGACGTTCACAGCCACAGCCATCCAGGAAGTGGTGTGAGTCCTTCATGGGTGCCCGGGCCTCTGCTTAATGTTGAGTCAGCAGAGTTCTTAGCTCTCCTCTGGAGGCTCTGGAGGACTAAAGGGGAGAGGGTCGACTGTAGGCAGACTGCTTTCCAGAGCACAGTTCCCACGCGTGGGTGAGACTGGACTCCTCTGTAGCTACTTCCCCTATGCCTGGTTCTAGGAACCTCAACAAACCCTTTCTTCTACACATCTGGTCAGCACTGGAGCCAGGTGGTTCCTGCAAAACTCACTTAAGGTGGTGGGTCCAGCAGAGGCTGAGGTTCTCCTGTGGAGGAGTGAGACTGAGTGTCTGGGATCCATGTTTTTCTGAGCATCCTTGGGTGCTGCGCTAAAATGTGCTAGGATCATCCCAGGCAAGAGATCCTCTGGCTAAATGCACTCGCTCTATTTCGTGGTGGCTCTTGTGCCTTGGACAAAAGATAGAAACCCTGAAGCGTAGCACCCCTCCTGGAGCCCCTCCTCAGGTCCTCAATGCTTTCCCGTTGCTGGGCCTTGAGAGGGAATGTACACGAAGTGAACTGACAGTGGCTCATGGCTCCAGGTCCATATCCCAGAATGCACTGCTGCTCTCCAGCGGCCCATACCCCAGAGCCAGTCTCATCTCAGCATGGAAGTCAGCTACTGCTTGATTCTTTCCAGCGCTGAGCTAATTTTCTTCTCTTCTTCCTCCCCCTCTTCCTCCTTCCCTTCTTCCTTCTTTCCCTTAAGACATTTCATTTTAAAAAGACAAAATGGCAGCACTGGCGCTGTGTCTTAGTCTTAGCATTTAATAGTGAGTGACATCCCTCTAGTCCTAGCCCTTGGGAGGTGGAGACAGGAGGATCAAAAGGTCAATGTTATCCTAGGCTGACTTTGAGATCCGATTGGGATATCTGAGACCAGTTCAGCTAGTCACTCGTAAGACCTTACATCCGAAACGGTGGCAAGGTTACAGGATTAAGGGTTGCTCCATACTTCCTCTAGACATTCTAGCATGCAGAATATTAGAAACAAAAAGTGATGCATTCAAATGAATCAATAAATTCCACCTGCCTGACACAGTGCAAATTCTGTCATTGCCTTTATGCAGACTGATGGTCTATGGTCGCAACAGGGCCAAACCAGATTTTCCCCAATTTTTAAAAGAAATCTTAAATTTATAGCATGTTCCATATCTCGCTACAGTTTTGACTTTTACTTTTCAACAAAGGAGCCAAGAAAATCGAGTTATGTGTTGTTGATTTCCCTCCCTAATGTCGGACAATCGGGTAGTTTCTAGCCTTGTCTTTGGCAGGTGTTTTGGTATGTTCTGGACTAGAATGTGACGGTGCACAGTTCCCTTTTAAGCGTTTGTTAGAGCTACAACCTGACCGGCACTCACCCACGGGACATTCACGGTCATGTAATCGCTCCAACAACCAGGCACCATTTGTTTCAGTCGCCAAATCTGGTGGCTTCAACGACACATTCTCTCCTCCTGGTCCAGAGAGGGTCCAGCTGTTTCTGCAGATGTTCTTTTGTATAGCCTGAACCCAGAGAGCTCCTTCCTATGCCTGGTGCTCCGGAAGGCCTGGCGGGAGGGACTGGGCTCAGCTGGGGCTCAGCTGGGATGGTGGGACTTGTGTCTGCCTGTGGTCTCTTCCCGTGGGCTGTTCCTGACACTTCTAACAGAGCAGCCAGACTTCTCTCACGGCAACTTAAAAGCGTAGCCGGTAGCCGTGTGTCTAGATCTGTGAGGAGAGTACTTGCCTGGCAGTGAGAAATAAGCCCCTGCACTGTTCTGGGTGGAAGTGAGTCACGGGCAGGCCCGGTTCTCTGTGGGAGAAGAGGCAGTTTTAGAGCATGGTCAGGTCACAATTGCTATCATTTTGCTCAGAGAGAATCAGAGGCGCAGAGAGGTTAAGTGGCACGTACAGAGGTATCTGACTCCAGAGCTGCTCCATATCACACTGCCTCTAGGAGTGGAGTTCTGTGGTAGAGAGACTTTAGTAAATATCTAATATGAATGTCTTTGCTAGTTTCCTTGTTTCTAGTTTAGCACTCCAAAAGGAAGTCTTTTATCTTTTCCTTTCTTCCCCCCTCTTTTGGGGAGGTGTTTGTGGAATGGGTAAGAGGTAAGGTGATAGGTGTGAGAGTCAGGGTGAGGGCACATGTGTCCCAGATCTCGCTGTGTAGCCTACAGTCTGGAGCGCACTCTCCTCCTGTCTCCATTTCCTAAGACTAGGACTTTGGAGTTCTGCATCACCACTACCAACGCTGGGTAGTTCCACAGCGTGCCCAGCACGGTCTTTCTAACATGTCTGGGGCTGCAGTTCTGCATTACCACTGCCAATGCTGGGTAGTTCCATAGCGTGCCCAGCACGGTCTTTCTAACGTAACCCGATGAGTCTTTGTAGGTTGTCTTTCCAGGATCAATTCTGTCTCGATAGTCATTTCTCTTCATTCTCTGACAGGAAAGAACTATTTCATAGCAAGAATGGGGCCCGCAAAAATGCCAAGAAGATCCTAATTGTCATCACAGATGGGCAGAAATACAGAGACCCCAAGAAGTACAGTGATGTCATCCCCGAGGCAGAGAAAGCTAAGATCACTCGCTACGCTATTGGGGTACAGTCTCTTTCTCCTCATCTCCCTCAGAGAAGGCTCAGTGGGTTTCTACTGCTTAGATGCCTCTCTGCTGCAGGTGGGAGATGCCTTCCAGGAACACAATGCCCTGCAGGAGCTGAATACCATTGGCTCAGCTCCCCCGCAGGACCACGTTTTCAAGGTGAACAACTTTTTAGCACTCGATAGCATCCAGAAGCAGCTTCAGGAGAAAATCTTTACCATTGAGGGTGAGTGGAGACAAGCTCCGGCCTTGGGGTTGAAGGGATTGCTACCAATTGCCCCCTGTAGTTCATCCTTATTTATGTCACCCCCCAAATGCCCTATAGAGCTCAGGTCTCAGACCCGACTGTGTTCTGAGTCCTCACGCTCCCATAGCTCTGGAGAATCTAAGTGACATGCTTCCCCACAGGGACTCAATCAAGGACAAGCAGCTCCTTTCAGCACGAGATGTCCCAAGAAGGTTTCAGTGCAGCTTTCTCAATGGTGGGTGGAAGGGGCACCTGATGAACAGACATCAACTCTGGGCCTTCTGTGGGCGGGATGGGGCCCTAAAGGGACCAGGAGCAGATTTGACCTTAAGTCCTCTGACTGAATGAACAGTATCATCCACGGTTCTTAAGGTGCGGGGGACAAAGGGGAGCAGGAGACAGCCAGAGCTTGAATTTTCATGGGGCACACATTGCAGTGGGTAGAGACCACACACAAAGCTCTCTCAGACTCTCCTGGATATTGGAGTAGAGAAAGGAAGGTGTTCAGATGACCCTGAGTGATGAGGAAGGGGCAGCCCTGGAAGGTCTGGGACCGATTACTGCAGTTAGGTTAGGAAAGGAAGGGTGGACGCAGCAGGAGCACAGTGAGTTAGGGACAGTGAGTGGCTGGAGGGCTAGGAGGGCCCAGACCACACGGATCAGAGAGAAAGCAGTGCAGTAAGACTTGTCTGAAAGCTGTGTGCCCAGAGCAGCTAAAGAGATTTTTCTTCTAATAAATTGGAGCTGAGTAGAGCGTGGCAGAAGGGAACCGGGTTTGTTTGAAACTGGTCACTGGAGCTATGTCAAAGGGCCATGAAGCACTTCTTTCAGTGTTTTTATATTTCTAAGTTCTCTATAATCCAAAGTCTACAAATGAATACAAAATGCTGGGGAGCTTGAAACATTGCTACCCGAGGGTGCTGACAGAGACCTTACAAAGATGTGACGAGCGAGGCTTTGTCATAGAGGAGCTGAGAGAGGGACAGGACAAAGGTCCCCTATGTCTGGGAACAGAGATTAACTGCCCAGATTCAACTGAGAAGTGACCCAGAAGACATTCTAAGGGGGCCAGTGATGGTTTACTAGCATAATGGTGCCTACATACTGGGTTTGAGGAGGCCTGATGCCAGGATGGGAGAAAGTAGAACAAACAGCAGAAGCCTAGGAGGCAGAATGGGTGGAAGGGTAACAGGGCCGACAAGGGCAAGGACAACGTATTGAGAGACTAAGGAGTTAAGGCGTAGAGACAGCCAGTGAAACCTAAGGATGAAGAACAATTAAAATGACATTTGGGGACAAGCTTCTTCGGATTAGGCTGGCGTTCTGCTCCAGCCTGCTCAGCCCTGGAATCCTTTCCTCCCAGGATGGACCAGTTCTGGGAGCTGTGGGAAGCTTCAGCTGGACTGGAGGTGCCTTCCTATACCCCCGAAATATGAGACCCACCTTCATCAGCATGCCTCAGGAGAACGTGGACATGCGGGATGCTTACCTGGGTAAGAAGAGGCTGTGGGAGGAGGAAGGGCGGGGCGAGCTGCCTGAAGACAGGAAAAGCCTTGGTGCTGAGGTCTGGGCCCCTCAGGTTACTCCACCGCACTGGCCTTTCGGAAGGGGGTCCACAGCCTGGTCCTGGGGGCCCCTCGCCACCAGCACACGGGGAAGGTTGTCATCTTTACCCAGGAATCCGGGCAATGGAGGCCCAAGTCTGAAGTCAGCGGGACACAGGTTGGTAGAAGAGGAAGTCAGAGTGTGACCAGGGTGGAGAAGGAGGAGATGAAGGGGCTTTGGAGCCCACAGGGGAAGCTGTGGTACTGGGAGAGGGGCAGGGTCTCGCCCAGATGGGGTATCTGTAAGATGGCTTCGGGCTTGGCCTACCAGATCGGCTCCTACTTTGGGGCGTCCCTCTGCTCTGTGGACATGAATGGAGATGGCAGCACTGACCTGGTCCTGATTGGGGCCCCCCATTACTATGAGCAGACCCGAGGGGGGCAGGTGTCTGTGTGCCCCATGCCCGGTGGGGTAAGTGGTAAAGGGTCCTGTCTGGAGGTTTGTGGGTGTGGGTGGAGGGCTGCCCAGATCGGGTCTGATGCTGGCTTTGCCCTGCAGAGGAGCAAGTGGCAGTGTGAGGCCACACTCTACGGGGAGCAGGGCCATCCTTGGGGCCGCTTTGGAGCGGCTCTGACAGTGCTAGGGGACGTGAACGGGGACCGTGTGACCGATGTGGCTATTGGGGCACCTGGAGAGGAAGAGAACACGGGGGCTGTGTACATCTTTCATGGAGTCTCAAAACGGGACATCAACCCCTCGCCCAGCCAGGTGAGGCCTTGTCACCAATCTCTTCTATTTTGTTCCCCTCTCCACATCTTGGGCTGGTTAAACATGTCCTCTGGCTGCTGGTGACAGCCACTGTCTCTTTTCACAGTCTCTCAGTAGTCTGCTCCTCCGCACTGAGCACCAAGCATCTTTGTGTCGACCCAACCTCCGCTCTGCTGTAGACAGTTTTCTAAGAGACTAGGCTGGGAACTTAAACTCTTGAGTCAAATCCCTGGCCATCGCAGTCATCATTTGCTTCGTGTTCTGTGTTGGAACGATTGCTTTAGATTCTGCAGGCTTTAGTTGTTTCCTACGTAACAGAAACGATCAGGCCAAGTCCTTCCTCTAAGGATAATGTGTGCACTGAGCACTCCATGTTCCACACATTTTCTGGCTGACCGTACACATGATGAACAGATTTACTTTAATCCTATGTCTGTATATTTATTCCACTGCTGCTTCCACCGTCAGGGCAAACTGGACTTGTAAGAGGGCTCCCTTCTCTCTTTCTGCAAGTCTTCTTAGACCCCCCCCCCCACTGTTTGCTTTCACTTCCTAACCCTTCATTTCTCCTTTTGCCACCCATGGACACCATCATCTATTGGTTTTTCTTCTTTTCTCTTCTTGATCAGCGGGTCACTGGCTCCCAGCTCTCCCCGAGGCTCCAGTATTTTGGGCAGTCACTAAGTGGGGGTCAAGACCTTACCCAGGATGGCCTGGTGGACCTGGCAGTGGGAGCCCAGGGACACGTGTTGCTGCTTAGGTGAGAACTCACCCACATACCACCCCGTCTATTGTGTCTGAATCACTTGTGCTGGTCTTTCTCCCAGAAATCAGCATCACGTCCTCAGCCCTTGTTTGTGTCCCCAGGAGTCTGCCTTTGCTGAAAGTGGGGATTGCTATAAGATTTGTCCCCAAGGAGGTGGCAAAAACTGTGTACCAGTGCTGGAAAAGGATTCCCACTGTCCTTGAAGCTGGGGAGGCCGTTGTCTGTCTCACTATTAGCAAAGGGTCTCCTGACCAGTTAGGTGAGTGTTTTCCTAAAATTGGGTCCAACATCGCCCCTTTAGAGGCTTCGAAGGCTCTGTAGAGGGCAGAGCAAGCCCAGGAACACAGATCTCTTGACCTTTCCCGAGCTGCCTGCGTCAGGGCCTGAGTTCTTCTTTTCCCCTTCTTCATGCACCCAGGCCTATGGGCTCCTATCTAGGAAGACCCACAGCCTGTCTCTTCTCCTCCCCCTTGAGCCTCTGTCCCTGCTTAAGCTACCACATCTCTGGTTACCTGCACTGAAGCCGAGACTCTCTCAGTGGCCCTCACACCTGTTCTTACCCCTCTCACCCATTGTCCAATAAGAAACTAGACTTGATTGATCCCAAAATGTGAAACTAGACTCCTTGCCCCAACACTTAACACCCTCACACTGCTTTCTCTTACAGTATTGGAGACTCCAGTCGTTTCTGTGATTCCATCCCACTGTGGTCCCTCCTTGAATCTCCTGTCACTCCACATTCCATCCCTCTCCCTCCATGTACTTCTGTGATTGTGCCAGAATCTTAGGAACATCAAAAGCTTTCTTTTCCCCAGGCCTCATTCACAGTCCATGTGCTTAGCTTCTTTATTAGACTGAGATTCATGAACCTCAGTCTATCTGTCAGTCAGTCTGTTTGTCATCTACCTACCTATCCATCTACCTGTCATTCATCTATCTATCTACCTGTCTGTCTGTCTGTCTGTCTATCTATCATCTATCTATCTATCTATCTATCTATCTATCTATCTATCTATCTATCATTTATCTATCCATCTACCTGCCATTCATCTATCTGTCTGTCTGTCTGTCTATTATCTTTCTATCTATCAT